AAAAATCAAAAACCGAAATATATATATATATATATATATATTTACCCAAAAAAACTTATGTTCGCCCGAACATGTTCGCAAGCTGTTCGCACGAACGCGCAAACACGTTCGCCTGAACGTGAAGGGGCGCGAACACGTTCGGCGTGCTACGCAACTATTTACTGATGTTCGTGTTGGCAATATTTTGCATGTACGTGCACTCCGGCCTTGTTATTTTACATGTTTTTTACGGGTTTTGTTTTTCATTTTGTTAGTGTGGTTTCCATTTTTCGAGTTCGTGGGAAGTTTGGTTAAAACGACCTTTGTGTTGTGCTAAAAAATGGCAGAACAAGTTATCTGAAACCAGAGGCATCCTTAACACATGGCAGGCAAAGCGCCCCTCAAATCTCACGACGCTTGTCAATGCGTCGTGGATACCATACATGTCGGGTAACGGACATTGCTCGCATGACGCACATTATTTTTTTTTTTTTTTTCTTTTTTCTTTGTGACTTGTACTTTTCGCACATTCATAGGATCAGTGGAAAACACAATAATAAATACACATACTTCTCAGCACAATACGTCATCGTCGATATGTGACCCTACCGCACAATAATTACTCCATATAGTGTGGTTCCATATGTCTTTACTAAAAACATTTACCAAGCACGTGCACAAAATTTAATCCACACACAACCTAACGCTACTAATGAGTCCACCTCTGTCTACTCACACACACATGCACACACACACACACACACACACACACACACAATAACCATTTCGTAAAAACTGACATATTATATTTTTTGAACGAAATTGAAACTGAGTTTTTGGGCCGAAATCCGGTCCAAATTTTTGGATCCTGGGGGTTCGGCGTTCCGACCCCTTAGATATATCCGGTCTCAGCTTGAGGTCAGATACATCTAGGGACTCCGGCGTTCTAGGAACCCGGGACCCCCAGGAGCCAAAAATTTGGGCCGGATTTCGGCCCAAAAACTCAATTTCAATTTCGTTTAAAAAAATATAATATGTCCGTTTTGATGAAATGACCGTTACACACACACACACACCTACGTATCGAGATGGGGCACCCTCTATGATCGGCAATCCACTAAGCATTGTCTACACATCTAACTTAGTTTTCTTAGTCAAAGCTCTCGTCGACCGTCTCAGTAGTTGCGCGTCCTCTTTGTGGTCACCTACCACTCTTGGTGCTGCCTCATCTTTCTGCTCGTTATCTTGGATGATATCCTCGTCCGTACTCTCCGATCTCATGTTTATTATGAAATTGTGTTCATGGGATCCCTCGCATTTCTTCGTCTACTCTGTTGTTGTTGCTGAATTTCAGTTGTTTGTTCATACAGATGTTCAAACATTGTTTTCATTTTTTCCGCTATAGCCACCTTGCTTGCACCGCTATTTTCTTTTCACACTCAGCGAAAAAATTGTGTTCCCGTCACGTTGTGCCATATCGCAGCGTCTTTTTTTTCCTCCGCGACCCACCCGTGGTCTCTTGTCTTCACAGCCATATGCCACTTGCCTGCGAACACGCACGTTTCGAACACGCCCTCATGCCAAAGAATATGATGACCCCAATCCTCCTCCGATGACTTCTTGTACTTGTCTTGCAACAAGTATGACACTAAAGGGTCTGGACTCTAGAGCAAGGCCTTGAGGTAATGGTTTTCCTGGCACGAGCTTCGGTGTGAGTGTTGTGACATCCAAGTCTTCGTCTTCATCTTTGTCCATCGATGTGAGCGTTCGCTGCTCGGCCTGCGGTGTATGTGTCGATGATGGTTCAACTGTCATCGGGGTGATTGCACACCCATTCTCTCCTCTCTCTGTGTTGGCCCGTGAGTTAACATCTCCCTCACTCGCACCCATGAGGTTCAATGATACACCATTATTTTCTCCCCTTTCATTCATCCTTGTTTCCACATTTCCCTCACTCGCACGTGCCGCTCCCAAACTCAAGCTCGCCTTCTCCGCAGCTCCATTGGTGCTTCCTTGCGGTTCGTTGGCACGTGCTCCCTCTGCCACACATCGCACCGCATGCGATGGAATGTTGAGGTCCGAGTCTGATGTGTCTTCGTCTCAATCGATGTTGTTGAAGTTGCTGGCTTTACGCTATGTGACCGTTTGAACGCATTGAACGCGATTCACGTTCGAACGCCCACGTTCAAACGCATTGCGCGCCATGTGGCACAATTTTATCGAACGTGACCCACCCAGCTTGGTGAGCACATGGCGGACTACGGGTGGATGGATTGGTTCTTCATAAAAAAAAAAAAAAAAAAAAGTGCGGCAATGTATATTTCCATGGTTTAACGGTAGATTCATCCGATTTTTCTCATGAGATCGATGGAAGTACCATGAGGTTGGCTGCACAGTTGGAGACTTACCTGCTCCTCTCTCTCTCTCTGCCTCTCTCTCTCTCTCTCTCCCTCTCTCCTTCTCTCTCTCTCTCTCTCTCTCACACACACACACACA